CAACCAAGTTGTCTACTCAGGACGTACGAAAGACGTTACCCTCATTGAGCCTGTCCAGCCGGCCGCCACGAGGATGGTTGCCGGCCTCAAATCCGTGGACTACGAAACGCGTCTCGCGATGCTTGATCTCTTTCCCCTGGAGTACCGTCGCCTCCGAGGGGACCTAATTCTTACTCACGCCCTGTTTGAACAACGCTTGGCAAACGGGTTTTTTACCGTTGAACCAGCAAACACCCGGCGGGGGCATAGCAAGAAACTTTTCGAGCTCAGAGCACACACATTCATTATACAAAATATTTTCTCATTTCGGGTAGTAGCTGCTTGGAATGACCTTCTTCCGATGGTTGTTCACGCTCCTTCTCGAACCCAGTTTAGAGCACTGTTAGACATTTATTTATGCGAATCCTCGCGCTGGCAAGCATACTGCCCCACGCTGAGAACATAAAGAGCAGTGCTACACCCTTTTTTAACTTGTGCCCTCCAGGTGAACGACAGCCACTGACCGACAAGGACAAAACCGACCCGAGAAACTTGGGCAAAAGCCTCGATCCTGTGTATCAATCCGTTAATCCGTGATTCCGTGAGCATTTGCAGAATCACTCAATGAAACGTGCTTCGCCTCATTCTTTTCTTACTGTACATCAGTGACGTCTTCGGCGCCATATCCTATGGTAAGTCTTTCCTCTTCACGGACGTTATGAAAATCGCGTACACATTCCCCACCTCAGCAAAAGCCCTTGCATTTCACCAGATTAAACAAGACCTAAATTCACTGACTCGCTGGTCGGACGACTATGGCCTAGGCTTCTCCTCCACAAAATCGCGTATAACGTCTTGCCCCTGACCTCTCCCGGCTGACACTCGCAATTGATGGAAATCCTATCACCTATTCCACGGACATAACTTAGTAGGCTAGCGAACATGCTGCCGGGGTGATGATATACGGTAGTATATTACAAGGGCGCGCAGGCTCAGTTTTTTAATACTGCGCTCCTGCCACCTTCCAGACACGATGGTTGCAATATTTAAGCTATGCGTACGACCAATCGTGGAAGTCTGTCCCACATTCTTCTCCCTCTACACCCAAAGTTGCAGACTCGCAATTGAGAGTGTCCAACGCTCATTTACGAAAAGCTCTTTCGTCGGCGAAATCCCCTCTCTTATCCTCCCGCTGTCAAATCCTAGGCCTCGAGCCACTATGGTTCAGACGGTTAAAACTGAATCTAGTTCTCTTACACCGTCTGCTGCATAAGAACGCCTTTGTAGCAGAGGCCCGACCAAGCATAAACGCACAACCTTGCTAAAGACTCCGCAACTCCTGCAACGTCCTAGTGTGTTCCCCAGCTCGTACAAACCTACGCTACTAATTCTTTCTAGTTTATTACGCTCGCATCTGGAACAGCCTTCCTGAGCAGCTGCGAAGCATCACGCATCACCATGCTTTTTCTCAGTCTGTAGACAAATTCCTTACCTGTGATACTGCTGCCGCCTTACTTAATACCCGTCTACCCTCTGTCCTCCTCTACGTATTAGGTCCAGTGCGCATATGAGTTTAGCGACGTTACAGTTAGTGGGCAAGTAAAGGATCCTGTCATCATTTCTTCCCATCCCCTTGACCCGCTTTAAGCTATTAAAGGACTTAAATGCCAACTTGGTCTAAATATACAGCATTACATGCCTGGTTGTTTTCTTTTTTTCCTTTCCCCCCGTACCAACTTACGCCTCGTACTAGTCTAGTTCTTACACCGGAACGCTCTATAAACTCTGTCTAGCGTCTACTGTTCTCGTCCAAACTCTACTGACAAAAACCAAACCAAAATTAGCTGTTTCCTCCCCAAACCACTGTATGACTTAGTCACCTACTAACTCTAATTATTCTGTCTTACTTGCCTGGTTGTTTCCTATTTCCCTAGTCAACTTATACCTCGTCCTAGTCGAGTCCCCACACCGGATTACTCTATCAGCCCTGTCTAGTAACCGGTGCTCTCAGTCTAAATTCAACTGATAAAGACCAAACCAAAGTCGATTTTTTTTCTTCATTTCATTATCAGAGAGCATCCTGTGCTTGGATGATTTGGATGATTTGTTCCATTGTAAACTCCCACACACAACATCGTTGAACGCCTCTGTTTGACATGGAAGCCCACACCAACTCTCTGATGCTGTTTAACCATGGTGCAATCGCAGTGAGTATCAACATTCTAGTCCCACCGTCTCATTGACAACCGCCATTTCACTCCTCCCCCGCGACTTGCGTTTACCAGCGTCTGTATACTGTTTGCTTGTTCGAACTGACTGAGTTGTCTTTACTGGCCTTGCTTTCCTTTGACCAAAAAATGGTAGCTGGAGTATTTAATAAAGCACAAACCGCACTTATGACTGCTTGGATGGTTTTCCACCTTGCAGATCTGGTAGCGTGCACGAAGGAGAACACCTCGTGTGGTGGACGGGTGCGCCCTGTAGGGAGGGTCGTCCTGTTACGTTGCACCATGGCGCGTTCGTATACCCGCCACCCCTCCAGTGGCACGGGTGCATCGCCCATTGCCGGTGGTTCTGAGTCTGGCCTTTAAATTCAGAAAAGCGAAAAATGTACTGCTGACTTCTGTTTGTTGCTTCTGGTGCTTGACTTGCCTCGGTTGAGTTATGCACCTCGCAATGCCATAAACCACAGATAAAAAAACTGGCCTATCATCTGAAAAAAGGTTCACTTGGGATAGCCCGAAGATACTCTGCAATGGCCATGGCCTACATAGGCCAGCATAGCTGTATCAACCTCAGCAGAACAGAGGCTACACCGCACCAATGCCCAGCTGGTCATCCGAACGGAGAATACATCTACTTGCCGCTCCCAGTGGTAGACACGAAGGTCTTCATCGCTATGCACCACCTGCAGATTAGAACTGCTAGCGGTGCTTCGGGGACAGGTGACTACTTCCCGTGCACACACTTTCTCTCCTGGTATTACCCAACTCCTGTAATAAACACCCGATTAACCAGTTATCTTAGAAGTCCACTCCTGCCAGCACTTTTACCTCTGATTCCCATAATACGCTTCTGCGCGCTTATATTGGCTTTTACTAGTTCCCTTGTAATATAATATCGTATGTTAGCAAACTCAACCCCTGTCGCTAGCCTACTAAGTACAAATCTCTCTATTTCCTACTCTATATAATCACTTGTCACCACCCTACTTGCAGCAGACGTCGAGTTTTTCCTTCTATGTATATTAATGCATAATATCCCATTTTATATCCTCTCAAACTCACTATGTTTTGCAAACCTTCTCCATCCCCTCATCTTCTCAAGCTTTGAGCTTCTGAAGTGCCCGTTTTGGACTACCTGGTTAGCTAATATCCACTCCACCTGGCCAATGAATTACAAACCCAGGATCACCAAGTGGACCAAGAAAACCTACAATCCCATACAGGTTCCGTTCCAGCTTGTTTTCTCGACCAGGCTGAAATGAATGCCGCTGCCTCAGCAGAATCATCTTAACTGTGACGTCCGTCACAGGGCTGTCCAAAAACTGAAGGACATCAGGCCAAAGATGGCACGGCACTGCCATACTCAGTTTGATAGCACACCCGCAACTGTTCCATTCCTCCTCCCAACCGAGCCTTCTTGCCTACTCATTTCATTGACCCCAACTACCACCATGACATTCATTCCAACCTGTTGGACTACTCGTTCGAATTCAACCACCCCTGTGTCCCCATCCAACCTTACCCCTTCACCTGACTTCCCTAAAACAGTGCAACCGGTGAATCTGCTTGTGCTGAGATTGCACCATGTTTTTGAGACTAAACTTGCCATGTTCTCCCAATTCGAATTATGCCACCTCCACTCCCACGTTTGCTCGTTGTGACTCCGGCCATTTAGCCAACCGCCCAAGGTCGCTCATGGCCAGCAATGGTTTCCAGTTTTAGTTCATGTCAGCTGACTGAGTCATTGAATTGGTCGGACCTTGTGTCCATTGTTCCCTACAAGTTGCGAAAGAAACCTATTATTATTATTTAATCGAGTACGCCCCACTGTTTATGGCAGTGTCATCTTTTCGCGCAATCCCCCTACCCGCAAATTCCCCCAGTCATGCCCCAGCCTGACTATAAACGCATGATCATACCATACTATATACCACCCACAGGTTGGGAACAAACATTATTATTATTATTATTATTATTATTATTATTATTATCCTACGTCGACTCTGTGCTCCCACTTTCCACCGATGAGAACAGGTGGCTAGAACTAATGCGTACTCTCTGTACACGATTTTTAGCTGATTAATGGACTTACTGAGCCGATTCCAGAGCTGTCTGGTCTGAACTGCTTTACTAGTAATGTGAACTCGTTTCCGGAAGGTACTGTGGCTACAGTAAAACTGGCTGATAAATGACTCTGTGTGTCAAGACCGTGAGAGACATTTTATAAGCGGAATAATTTTATCAGACGGTTTTTGAAGTTCAACAAGGGTTTTACATTTCCAGATCCCCCGAGAGTTTGTGTAACCGAATTGCGTGCGGCTTAACTTTCAGCTTGTGCGTTTTACTCGAAGTGATATCAGAAAGCGAATAACACTAATAATAAACAATTTACATATAGTCAGCAGAGACACCGTAGTCCATTTGAATCGCACACAAGAAAGGAGATGGCTTATCGAGTTCTTCAGTTGATAAATTGTGGTGGACGATGCTGTCCATAACTGAATCGAATGAGGGCCTTAACCGCACAGCGGGTTGCGTAGAGCTTTTAATTGCCTCAGGTCAAGGCGCTGTGTGAAGTAACCAGAGTCGCCATTCTGTTGTCGTTGTTCTGCATATATATATTTAAATCTATGTTGTGTGTGAGGATACGCTTGCACTGTTCATTTTATGATAAGCTTCGGATAATACTGATCGTTCGTGGGGCGAATGTTCCTGACAATCAAAACAGAGGTGAAGAAGTGGGTGTGCATGTGCTAAACAGATTCTGCATAACTTCGCATTAATTAGACACAAAATAAATACTCTCGTGAGTTTGCAGGGCAAAGAGGTCCGCACAGCTGTAAGATAACTCTTTTCGCAGGTATTGGGCGAATCTGCTCTATGTATAGTGTATAAAATGTGGTCTTGGACCATGATGCGTAACTCTGAAATAATTCCTACAGTCCACTCAAAAGTGGCAAACTAACGAAAACCCGTTTCATCCAAGTGGATGATTCCATAACTCGTTCGTTTTTATCGCTCACACTGCGTTAGATATAATGTAAATTCCCTCGCAGAAGAACCACCCTAAAATATTCCGACATAAGTCTTCAGAAAAACAAATCTGCGTTTTCATGCAGTGACAGAGACTTCGAATATAAATAAAGGGCATGTGAAAATATCCCGTGATAAATATCCAACGGCGAACAAATAGTCACCCTAGATTAACCCAAATCCCAGTTTAAGTGTGGTGGAAATAAAACCATTGTTGGACACGTACAATTTTTTCTCACCATTTTGGCATGTAAAACGGATTTTAGCAACCAACACTAGTGTTGGAGCCAACGAAATTATGGACCACTGCCTTTCATTGTTGTGCGGACCACTAGGTTGTCGAAAATGGTGATCCGCCTTCGTGGGTAGAGTTTCCAGGTTGAGGAAGTAATTAAAGTAGAATTCTAGGAGGCTTAAATGAACCCCGAATCGTGCGTCCTGGATACATGACAAATTAGTCTCCACTTTTGAGTAAAAGTTGGGAAACATTTCGACCACTTGGTAATTATACGTCACCAGTACAAATAAGTGGAGGCTGAAGTAAAACAGTCAAGACTAGGCCAGGAATAACCCAAAGTGTGATAAAACAAATAGTTATACGAGAAGCATTCAGGTTGTCACACTGTAAGGAACAATATGAGATTTTCCTGGGTGAGCCCGCTACTTCTTAATCAGCCAGCAGAAGTTATTCGAAAACAAGATAGTCTGTTATGCAGTGGCTTGTTAAAGACTGTTTTGCAAATAATATTGGAAGGTTGCTATGGTCCTTCCAGGACGTTAGCGACATACGTCATTGAATCTTATCCAGGTAGTAAGTTTGATTTAAGCTATAAAACAGAATACAGATGCTTTTCGCAAGTTCTGACAGATAGGAGTTTCCAAATAAGTATCTTTTAAAACACTATTCATTTGTCCGCTTCCACAATCCTATCTAAACTACCTACTCACGTAAATGGCTGAGACTGACTGCGACCTTTGCAACACGATCCGGAGTTTTCCTACTGCGCTAGAGCTCATCTGGCCGCATCACCCAAATTATTTATTTCTCAACCTGCTCTCACTGTGACACTACTCCCGTCTTCCTCCTCAAAGTGGCTACTAGACCCCGAACCCCCATAATCTACCCCCCCAGTATGTTCAAAGAAGTGGCCCACATCCAGAAGACCCAGCTCCCGATCCCCTCACATTTCGAGGCTTAATATTCCCCCCCAAAATACGCGTAGTACCTGTGCTTCCCGTTGTCACTTCTTCCTATCTTCTTGATTTCCTTCAAGCTTATGTAGGACATAGACACCTACTTGATCTAAATATGCTGTGCTACTGGCCTGAGTAATTTTCTTTCACCCCAGCCAAATTATGTATCGTCCTAGGCAATTCCCTACTCCAGATTACTTTATCAGTTCTGTGTAGTGCCTGGTGCTCTCAGCCTAACTACAAAAGGCACCCTCTCCATCTATCCATCCATTTATATATTTACCCATCTGTATATACATATATATATATATATATATCCATCCGATGATTTGTCCCACAGCTCACTAAACGCTCACACAACATTGCGGTACGCTTCTGCTTGACATGGTAGCTTACACTCACGTTCAGAAGTCGTTTAGCCAAGGTGCACTTGATGTGGATATCACCCTTCCTTTTCCAGTCTAATTGGCAGCTGTCATTTCACTAATCTCGTACGCGACTTGCCTTTATCAACGTCTAAAGGCCGCTTGCTTGTTCGAATTGACTGAGATGTCTTCATTGACCATGCTGCCCTGCACCAGAAAAAAATTGGTAGCTGGATTATTTATTATTGCACAAACCGCGTTTATGATGGATGCTTTTTCACCTTGTAGACATGGTAGCATGCACGAGGGAGAACACATCGTGCAGTGGACGGTTACGCTCTGCAGGGAGGGTCGCCCTGTTACGTTGCACCATGGCGCGTTCGTATACCCACCACCCCTCCAGTGGCACGGGTGCATCGCCCATTGCCGGTGGTTCTGAGTCTGGCCTTTAAATTCAGAAAAACGAAAAATGTACTGCTGACTTCTGTTTGTTGCTTCTGGTGCTTGACTTGCCTCGGTTGAGTTATTTATCTGGCAGCGCCATAAACCATAGACTAAAAACTGGCATTTTCTCCGTCAATTAACAGTATACCTGGAATAGTCTGAAGATACTCTGTATGCCCATGGCCTACATTGACAAGCCTAGTTTTATCTGCTTTCGTCAGCGCAAAGACTACCCACACCAAAACTCATTTCGTCAACCAAACAAAACACACCTGCCTGTGGCCTTCACGATTGGGCACACTCAATATATATATATATATATATATTGCGAACCC